TAGGCAGGGAGCGGCCGCTACCAAGTAAAGGGATGGGAGCAGCCAGCAGCAGAGCAAGCAAGCGGGTGGGAGCAGGATCCGGCCCCAGAGCCCCCCTTCCCTAAAGAAACCGAGGACCAGCAGCCCCAGCTCAACCCACTCAGAGACCCACTGGCCTTTGAGCGTTTCGAGGACAGTAACCGAAAAATAATACACCTAGCGAGACATATTAAGAGAAGGAAAAGTTTGCCCTCTGGGCTTCTATTATCGGTGAGACAATGCAGGGAAGCGTATTAATCCCGCAGCCGGTGGAGCAGAGCCGTGTGTAAGCAGCATCTTGAAGTTACTGTAACAGATGTTATTAGCATATGGTTGAAACTGGGGCATCCAACGCGTTCTTTTACAACTAAATCAGCACGGGGATGCGTACTCCAGTGGGTGTTAAATTATCAGTCTCCCTCGGACGTGACGGCGGTGGCTCTTTAACCCTTCGAAGCGCAGGGCTGTGCAGAGCCAGGCCGGGCGTGCTGGGCGAAGGCTGGTGGAAAACTTTCAACCTCAACGTAAGCAAAGAGTTGGGGTTCGCCCAGCGTCAGGGGGCTGCAGCCAGCGTTTGAGCCCACGAATGGCCTCAACTCTCCCAGCCACGAGCTCAAATCTCCACTTCGAGAGGTTGAGAGACCCAGCTCGAGCTGCCCACGAGTGTTTCTCCTTCAGCAAAGCCTGGATGATAATAAAAGCTACTACAGACACTGATTGGATCGATGCCCTTGGAGGTTTACACAGAGTAGGGAAAAGCCTGCAACGTGCCACACACATCAGGCTAAAATAGATGCAATACCTGTTACTGAGCCTTGGATAAATATTTCAGCTGTTTCTGGGATATTTAGGGATTATGGAGGACCCTTGCTGGGGCTGGATGGGAGCGGGGGGGATGTCGCCGTTCCCCGTCCCTACCTCGGTGGCCGTAGTTGTGGGTGTCCATAAAGGAGAGCCCCAGGCGCTCGTCCTCCTGCAGCGTGCTCTGGTCGGTGAAGCTCCTGTCGATAGCACTCATCATGTGCGTCTTCTCGTGGCGGTAATTAATGGTCGCTTTGGTCATGTTGACGGGTTTTCTGCAGGGGGATGCAAAGGGGAGGAGGGGGAAGAAGCACACGTAAGTAGGGCTGACCTGACGGTGCTGTAAGATCCCCTCAAAGCTACCAGGCTTGGATTATTTCATGGAGTAGGATGGATTATTTCCACCAGCAGCCATCATCCTTCGGTTTTCTGGTGCCCCAAGCTGGTCGCAGCCCCACATGGATCATCCCTCACTGGTTACAGCAACTCATCCTCAATGTCCCCTCCTGTCCCCCTCCTCAAAACGCCCAGTGGCTGGAACAGCCAGGAACACCCCTTGGGCAAGTGAAGGCTCTCCCCAGTCATCTGGCATTGCACAGGTCTGCCCCAGCTCTCCCCCAGCCCCATTTCTCCAGGCATTACCCACCCCATCGCCCCACATCACCTCGCTGCAACATGGACCACCCAACACGCCGCGTGCATCCCTGCGCTGCACAAGGGCAAGAAGTAGAAGGAGGACGTGGACCTGTTGGAGCAGGTCTACAGGAGGCCACAAAAATGATGAGAGGGCTGGAGCACCTCTCCTGTGAGGACAGGCTGAGAGAGTTGGGGTTGTTCAGCCTGGAGAAGAGAAGGCTCCAGGGAGACCTTAGAGCAGCCTTCCAGTACCTAAAGGGTCTCTTATAAGAAAGATGGGGAGGGACTCATTAGTAGGGCCTGTAGGGATACAGGACAAGGGGTCATGGTTTTAAACTAAAAGAGCGGAGATTCAGTCTAGATAGCAGGAAGAGATTTTTTTTATGCTGAGGGTGGTGAGGCACTGGCAGAGGTTGCCCAGAGAGGTGGTAGATGCCCCATCCCTGGAAACATTCATGGTCAGGTTGGACAGGGCTCTGAGCAACCTGGTCTGGTTGAAGATGTCCCTGCTCATGGCAGGGGGTTGGACTGTATGGCCTTTAAAGGTCCCTTCCCACCCAAACCATTCTGTGATTCTAAAACTATGCCAGGGGGCCAAATCCATCCCAAGGGACAAGCTGGACCCCCTGACTGCACACATGTGCTCAGCACCCACCCGGGAGGCTTTTTCCCCCATGCAAGGTCCCCGTTAGGCACCCAATGAAGATGTTGGGAAAACCCAGGAGCTCTTGTTGGAACAGAACCTCACACCTCAAATTCAAGACATTTAGGCAAAAAAACCTGATTGTTTTCAAGAGGCAGCATCAGGCTCCCAAGAAGCCAGAGCAGGGATTAAACCAGAAGGACGAACAGGAGATCTGAGCCCACGTCGGCATCTTGGTGGGATCAGGACACTGCAAGATGCTTCCAAAATCCAGAGCACAACCCAGAGTCACTGCCCTTTCCCTTTTATGCTGCCTTCAGTCTCTAACAAGCTCGGCAACGTTATTTTCCCCAAGCCAAAGAGGCCCTTAAAATGTACTCGGCAGAGAAAAGGACTTGTTGGAGCAGCAGGGCAAGGGGACGGCCGGGAGGAAGGGCGATGGAGAAAAAGAATGACAATTACTTACGGGTAATAGGAATAAGAATAGTAGTTCCTCCTGGCAAGCGTGCAAACAAAGAGAACAGCAGAAATTGCATAAGCAGCTTTTCTCCGGTATAGGGAAGGGGAGTTACGGGGCAACTCAGCTGCCGGAAAATTAAATGCACCGTAAAGAAACCTTGTTCCCCTTTTGCATCCATAGGTTCTTTACTCGGGGCAGGAGCCGGCATTCCGGCAGCAGAGCCCAAGCACCGGCTCTCAGGATAACCACGATCCCCGTCCCGGCAGTGGGGTGTCCACAGTACCCTTGTCTGAGGGGTTATTTCACAATTTTTAAGACTGAAGAGCAAACGTGTCCAAAATGTAGGGCATCCCCCTCGGAGCCAGTTAAGGACTGGGCAACCCCCGTGGGAGAGATGGGGTCAGGACATCACTTCTCCGGTGCACCATTTATTAAGGGCGAGCGTATTCCAGGGCTGCATTCCCATTCCACCACATCAGAGTTTCTCCAACAGCAAAACACTCCAGAGGAGATTTATGAGCTCATCCCAGCTTCCCAACAGCCCCAAATTCCAGGCCCCCGGCACTGGGTCTGATTTGTGGCTCTGCTTTGTACTTCAACAGGTTCACCCCGAGATGCTGAAGCAAAGCTGCCCCAATGGCAATGCAGCAGAGCCCCACTCGTGGCTCTCTACCCCCAGCATCGCTCCTGAAAACACATCAGCACCGCCGGCATTTGCTCCATCAGGGACAGATTTGACGCCGTACGCAAGGGCATCAGCCCAGAGCAACGGCAGACGGGGCGCCAGGAGCCAGTCCTGCACCCCTGGCAGCGGGCAGGGATGCTACAGCCTTACTTTGCCAGCTGGTACAAATCAGCAAGAATCCTTTCAGGGTGAACAAAGCCATAAAGAGCTTTACAGATTTACACGGCCTGAGGTTGTGCCCTGCTATTTTTCTCTCCCCCCTAGCTGTTAACGTACTTTCCTCCATCATCCCAAGCTCTGCACAGGGAAGACATTTAATTGCTGCCCTTTCTCCCCTGCTTGAGAGCCCCCCCAGCCCGGTGCCACCTCAAGCCCCACACAATAAGAAGTCGTTTTCCAGAGCGCTGCGCCCAAGCAAAAAGCAGCAGCCGCATCCCCAGCGCTCCCGGGGACGAGTGTCCCGAAAAGCCCTCGCCCTCCTCCCTCCCACCCCACCGAGCTTCTCGAGTGAAAGCCCACCACGACGGCCACGGCCGCATCCACACCAGCCGTGCTGAGCTCCCTGGGGAACGTGGGGACCCCCATGGGGGTGGGAGAGCAGTTTGGGGGGTCCCCAGGGACCATCAGCCCTGAGAAAACCTCCCCTCCAGTGTGCACCCAAATTTTAAGGACTCATTTAGAACCAGCTGGAGGCTCTCAGCAAGGGATTGCTCACATTTCACTGGCAATTCAGTGGCTCCCCATTAAAACAAGCCCAGGACAGTCTGAGAACCCGCACCCCGGGGCACCCAGCCACGACCCCAGAGGAAGGGGGGATGCTGCTCCTTCCCAACGCTCTCAAGGAACCAGAGCCTAGGACAAGAGTCAGAGTCTGCCCGGGTATTTCAGCAAGACCCACTACACCGCTTTCCAGGCAAGAGCCACAGGTGGAATTTTTTTTCCGGCCATCATCCCAGAACCGAGCATCCCTGGGGCTCTATTCCACCCCGGTGCTGGGAGGTGCTGGGCACTCAACTGCCATCTCGGGGAGGGCTCGGCGGAGGGGCAATAGTGAAAATGCCTTCCCTTCCTTCCTGAATGCCAGCTGGATGCAAGGGAACTGTGCACAGCCCCATCCCTAAGGCACCCCGATGGGAGGGTACCGGTACAGCCAGACCCCAGGCAGCAACGCTCAACGTGGACGGATCCAGCCCCAGGCTGGCCAAGGCAGCAGGGAAGCCCCGAGACAGTATTTCAGTGCAGATTAAGCTGATTTTCATAATTTGGGGCTGGAGAGGTGCAGGGCTGCAGGTTTTGGGGTCCTTCAGCTGCTGTTAGCAGGGGGAGAGCTGGCAGGATGGGGACAGCCAGGCTCAGCACCGGCTCAGGGTCCGTCCAAGCCTGATCCTGGCCAGAAGCGCTTCCATCAATGCAGAATCAACAGAGCAGCACAAAGTCAAGAAGAAGCAGAAAAAGTGGCAAGAGACTGAAAAATACGGGGGAGAGGGACAGTGGAACAAAGCTCCAGAGCCCCGAGGGCGAAGGGACATCCCTGGGACTTTGCTCCTTGGTCCCCCAGTGTCCCCGGTGCCTCCTGACGTGCCTGGTGTCACAGAGCAAGGAGGGGAGCATGCCCGGTGGGATGCACAAGCACATGGGAAGCAGAGTTCGAGGGAGGGTTTGGAGTCTGCCCAGCACGGCAGTATCACCACCAGTAACTCCCAGTTAGCGCTGGGGTGGTGGAGAAGGGCTGAACTAGGAGGAAGGGATGGATGGAGGCAACCAGCCACGACCCCAGGTCTCCTTACCCTTTCCGAATGACGACGATGATGGCTCCCAGGAGGATAATCAGGACAATGAGCCCTCCAGCACAGATCCCCAGGATCAGGCCCATCTCCTCCGAGTGCTGCGACACTTCCAGGGGCCGTTTGCTCTCTTTGCAGGCAGCTGCCGGGGGAACAAGGACAGGCAGGAGGCGTCAACGCTCAGCTCCAGTGGGATTGGTGACATCAGATAGGAAAACACTGGGATTTGTCCCATGGGATGCACGCTGCTCCTTCAACACATTTTATTTCACCGAGACGTTACGGGGCTTTGCAGTGCCACGCTATGACTGTGGGCGAGTCCCTCTCTGGGTTCCCGGGGGGTGAGATGGTCCCTTTGGGCCACCTTTCATCATGCCCAACGTAAGCTCACCCACCCCCGGATTCGGTATCCAGTATCACCAACTCCGGCCTCCCACCACCACCACCATAAGGGCATTAAGAGGAAAAAAATTCAACCAAGGGGGAAAAAAAAATCCAGACACCCAAGAAAGTGAGAAACAAGAGCACGGGATGGGGCTGTAATAAACCATCGCATGCAACTGGTGATGACACCCACCAGCACGGCACCGACCACCGGAGAAGCCGCCGGTTTGGGTCCACGGCCTCGGTGGGATCACGCCGGCTGGGAAAGGGAAGGCTCACCTTTGCGAGCGATCCGGACACAGTTCAGCCGGGTTTCCTACGGAGGGGAAAAAAAAGGAGGGGGGGGTCAGTGTCGGATGAGCATTGTGGTAGCTCCGCTCCCCACTCCCGCTCCGAGCGAGGCTGGGCGGATGCAAGGCTGGTCTGTTGGTGCGTTGAACCCCAAACCAGGGGAGTTTGCAGGTGATTTGTGCTGCAGCACCCACTGCTGAGCCAAAGGAGCTCCTAGGGACACACACCCCAAGAGATGCTGCCGACTGATCTGTCCCCAGCATCCCCTAAAGCAGCATCCTCAGGTTTAGCCAAGGCCATCGCTCCTGGCACAGAGGGGATGGCAAAGCTCAAGATCATCGAAGGAGGGACACGGCACATCACCAACTACAGCTAAAACACTCTCGGGTCATCATTCACAGCTTCTTGGGGTGGGGAGGGGGTTCAGCAATCAAAGTTTTCAAGCCCCAGCCCCAGTGCTCTGCGCTTGCTGCCCAGGTTGCCAGGAGGGCTTCCAGTTCAGGTCTCCAACAGTTTTAGCATTTGCATTTTTAGAGACAGGTTCAGCTAAAATATTCCATCTTTCCATACATTCAACTTCTGTTGCAAAATAAAAAGCACCACTTTCGCAGGATTGCCTTCTTCCTTGAGCATCCTCCAGCCCCTTGGGACACCAGTGCTGGCAACGCTGCTCCACCCGCCCTCGGACCGAGACGCGCCCCATGGCAGGGCCAGCACCGGCACCGCTCTCCCCAAGGTTACCAGCTCTTGCTTCTCCTGCTTCTTGCTCCATCTGGCACAAAAACCATGAAAAATCCAAGCTGGGTTCCGGCTTTTTCACAACATCTGATGGCAGCCGGGACAAATCCATTGCCTCCCAGCAGGAAAGCTATAAAACAGCGTCAGCTACCAGTTATTATCCAGCAGTGCCCAAGCGAGTCAGAGCCGAGATCCTCCCTGTCCGTCTCAGCTCTAATTACAACCCACCAAGGTGTGACTGATCCTGGAGCGGAGGAAAGGATTCAAAAACCAGCACCGGATTCAAAAACCAGCACCTTTCTGGCAAGACAGAGCCGTGCAGGATGAGGATGCTGCTGTGGTCCTGCCGCTTCGCTTTCACACCTCATCCTCTCCCAGGCAGGACGGGAGCTGCCGGAGCAAGTGAAGTTGAGAAGGGTCCCCAGGGGGTCCCAGTGGTCCCACCGGTGACTTGGAAGAAATCAGCCCAGGGGGATGATGCAAGGGTTGTTGCCGGAGTAGAGCCGTCACAGCTTTGGGGACAGAAGTGGCAGCAGCAGCAGGGAGAGGGCAGCCCGGGAACGCGGCAGCTCCCCAGGAGCTCTCTGCAGCGGCGGCTCTCTCGGCAGGGGGTCCCCGGAAGGTGCACGCAGCTCCTGCAGCCCAAAGGGGCCTTCTCCACACCAGGATGAGCTCCGGGAATGTGGTCTCATCCGCACCGGTGCTGGCTGGGGTCCTGGCTGGTGTCACAGTGGGTGGCGGAGGTTGGGCTCCTCCACCCCTGGCATTGGCACTGGGAGGGGGACAGGCACAGCCCAGGGGTGCCGGGAGGAAGGGGGACACCCACCCGTGACCCCAATGTGCCCTAAGGGTGGCCCGGAGCACCAGTTCCTCCCTGGGCAGGACACTGGGGGTGAGCCCAGAGTGGGGGACCCAAGGGAAGGGGATCCAAAACAAGTCCCATTTTTTCTGACCCCCCCCCTCAGACCCCAGTTGGGCTCCTGCCTGGTCCAACCGGGACCCCAGACACCCCACCCGATGGAGCGGGGTCCCCACCACGGCTACTCACCCCTTTGAGGTTGCTCATGGCTTGGAAGTAGATGAGATAGGCCTTCTTGGGTTCCAGCGGTGGGTTCCAGTAGCCGCTGTAGGTCTGGTTGTCGCCCACGGTGAAGGGTTTGGCTTCAGTGAGGCTGCTGGCAGGCAACTCGGCCCCAAAGTAGTGTACGGAGCCACGGGACACAGCGTCATCGAAGGTGAGTGGCACCGGGAAGCACTCCTGCCCACCCAGCTCCCGCTTGAGCTTCTTGGGTCGGTCTTCTTCTACAATGACCTGGTAGGTGCTGGTGAGGGCCAGGCACAGGTTAGCTTCGTGGAAAGGATGGTCCTGCCCTTTCCCTTGGTGCTCAACCCCACCGTCCATGCTGTGCTACCTCATTTGTGGGGGGTCTTGCCCTCGGACAACCCCAACCTACCTGATGGGAGCCCCTCTGCCCTGCGCCGGCCGCAGCAGCACCGGTTGACTCACTCAGCGGCGATGGCATGTCCCCGTAGTCGAAGGTGGGAGCTGGAAAGGGAGGAGGGGAAAGTGGGCAGGGGTGAGTCCTGGTCCCCAAGGATGTGGTCGCAGCTCCCCTCTGCTTGGGGAGGGGGGAAACTGAGGCATGAGCAGACTTGTCCACAACAAGGCATCACCAATTGGTGTAATGTGAATTATTCCAAGAGGACCCGTGGGTGTGTGCCCAGGGGGGGTTATCAACCCCAGTCTGGCAGAGGGGAGGAGACGGGAGCAGGATCGATCCTCAGCAGGATCCGAATGCACCGGCCTCGAGATGCACCCCGGGGACAGCACCGCTCCGAATCACCGGCACAGCATGAGCATCCCACCCCAGGGCAGAGGGACACCCAAGTCAGCCCAGCAGCACCCCCAGACCAAAGTGGGGGACACCCTCGTGCCTGGCATGGCCCCGTGGTCCCCAAGCCATCACTAGCCGCCGCTGGGGTCCAGCTCACGCCGCTTTGCAGTTTCGGTGCCCCTGTTAGGGCTCATCTCAGCCCATTTGCTGCAGTCAATAGCGACGCCGCAGACATGAGCAAGCAGCCCCAAGTACTGCAAGGCTTATTAACAAAGCCCAATTAATCCCTCGCTTGTACAGCGATAGCTCAGACAGCACCAGTGCGCCGGGCTGACCGGACCTCGCAGCCAGAGAACCCCAGAGAGCCCAGCTGATGGCTTTGGGGGGCTGCCCAGGGGGGTCACGGCACAGCTGCCACCATCAAAAGCATCCTTCAATAGCGGCATCCAGTCACCAAAATCCACGGGAGCACACCAGAGGGTCCAGCACTGCCATCATATACCTGTGCGGAGAAGCCCCAGCACCAGGTGTGGAGCTTGAAGGAACATACCGGAGATGTTGGTGGTGATCTCGGTGAGCGCCGTCTGGCCAAAACCCTTGCCGGTGCGGGCTCGGAACCGAGAAGAGGTACGGGGTGCCGGGGTGGAGGTTGGAGAAGACGTGGTAGGTCTCGTTGCGTAGTTTGGAGACGGTGCGGCGCGGGCCGGGCACGTTGACTGCTGGGTCGGAGGACTCGATGCTCTGGTAGCTGATCTGCAGGGAGAAGGCAGAGCATCACCAGCGGGAGAGGGGAGAGACCCCGGATCCGGACGGAGAAGGGGTTACAGGGATGAATTCAGAGGAAGGGATGGTCACAGGGGCAGCCTGGAAGGTGGATGCTTTTTGGGGTAAATTAAAGCAGAGGTTTATTGCAAAAGCCATGGCTGGATAACACCAGTGACCCCGAACGCAGGACGCGCCAGCAGCAGGGACAGACCCTGCTAGGGGGAGGATGAACCAGGCTGGGTCCGTGCTCCGAACGAAGGGCCTGGGGGCAGCAGTAACGCTGCAGTCCCCTTTAATCCCCACGACCAAAAGCAGCAGTTGCCCCAGATGTGCATCCCTCCCCCCCGCCGGGACCCTCCCGTGTCCCCGTGGGTCCCCCACGGGTGCCGCAGCCGGCCAGGACGTACCTCGTACTGTGTGATGAGGCCGTTGGGCTCCACCGGTTCCTCCCACTTCAGAAATATCATGTCCTCCAGCGGGGTGAAGGTAAGGGACTCCGATGCGATGCCGCCGGGCACTGGGGAAGGAAAGGGAACGTGCTCAGATGTGGGAAGAAACCTGGCTGGAAGGAGAAATCCTCCGGGAAACCCCTCCAGGCGGCTGCAGCAGCTCTCCCCCGTGACGGAGCCATCGCGTCCCCTCTGCCACATTGCCCAGCTCCCCACCAGACGGGGCCGGTGGCTCCCCAAGGAGATGCTCCTCAAGGCAACGACGCTCCTGGGCCCACTGGTGACACTTTGAGGGCAGGAGGTCCCCACGGCACAGCAGAAACCCCACAAGTACCATTTCTGGCATATCACCCCATTTGCAACGGCACAGCAGCAAGCCCTCCGCACGCCGTCACCGGCAGAGCTCACCTGAGTTCACCAGTGCGAGGAAAGAAAGAAAAAAAAATTATTCCCATTTTCCCATACCACCCAAATCCCCCCCGGAGCCACCAGCATCCTCAGGAGACACCGCCGGTGCTCCTGGCAGCAAGCAACATCATCCTCATCCGCAGACAGGCTTGAGATGCCCCAGCCTTCCCCTCTAATTAACGCCAACAACAATAATAACGGCAAACAATAACAGCCATCGACAGCACTGGGATCAATAGCTGCTTCTTTACCATGGATTTCTTGACCCGAGGGGGTCGGAGAGGCAATGGCTCGGCAAAACCCACCACTCGCCAGCAGCATCCTCCGCTGCGGGCTTGAGTACCCAAAACACGCACCCTCTCCTTGCAGAGGGACGTCAGCTTTTCCCCTCTATTTTTCTTTTTCGCAGCTTTTGTTCCGATCTAATTACGGGGTCGAGAGAGAAGGATCGCCTTCCACGCGCTTCCCGCCGTGCAAACACACAATTTCCACTTGATTTACAAGTTAATTTAATCAGAGGCGGCGTGTCCTACACGTGTACACAAGGCGCTTATTAAATTCGCGGAGAACTACGGAAACCTTTAGGGCAGGAATGTGTGTACCTACATAATTTTTTTTTATATATATATATAGCCTATACATTTTTATATATAGGTATGGGTACCACGCCCTTCTGCATTCACCAGGCTGAGACCGGCAGAGACGCACAACGGCTCCCAGGTGTGTGTATACCCCTCTGCCATCCATATACGCACATATATATTTATTTATGGATTTATATATATGGTTATTCTGGCTTGCATTGCATGCACCCTGCCTGCAAGGGTGAGAACTGGCTCCCTGCAGCACCAACACGCTGCACGGGTATTTCCACACGTACCTAGGACCGAGTTTCAGCGTTTCGTGCCGATACAGACCAAAATCTCCAGCCGTGGGTCACCAACCTGCCCCGGATCTGTACGGGGCACTTAAACACCAGTGGGCAACCTATGCATCCAGCACCCTCTTTTCTCAGTGTCCTGCCCACGCACCCAGAGGTCCAGCAGGACTTTGCCCAGGGTCCAAGGGGGATGCTGTGAACAACACCCTTGCTTTGCCCCCAGTTATTAACGCCCCAGAAATGGGGTTTCCAGCCCAAACGCCGAGTTAACCCCTTGGGGATGGGGGTGTGCAGCTTTGTAACCCACACCAGGGTCCCCCCTCGCCCCCCAGACAAACCTCAGCGCTGCACCAGTGGATGCTGCAACCAAACCCGACCTCGTGCCAAAATAAACCACAATCACCAGTCCTCTGATTAACGAGCCTTCTTCACCTTCCCTTAATTGCGGGTGCTCATCACCCAGTTGCTGGAGCTCGAATCCTCGTCACCCTCCCAGGCAAGCAGGGAGGCGCTGAGCCAAGCCCACGGGTAATATCTGCGATGTATCTATAGGCGGATAACCCATCAATCCATCTCACCCGAGACCAAACGTATACGCGGTCCCAAGTTCAATCCAAGGGGCAAGCCGCAAGCCCCGGTTAATCAACACATAGGGGAAAGCAGCTGGAGTGATTACAGTATAGCAAAAAAACATCTGGAGCTCCTGTATTAATATTCGAGAAGCAAACAGCTGGAGCAGTCACAGCACGGCGAGAACAGCTGAAGCAATTATAGCCGGAAAATAAACCCTCAGGAGCCTGAAGGTGGGTGCCCCGGTTGGGCAGGCTCAGGGCTGGGGATACAGAAAGTGCTGACGCGCAGGGAAAGGTGCCGCATTGAGGCTTTAGAGGTGGAACTGGGACCCAGAGACCCTCCCAGCTCTGCTCCAGCTCCGCAGGTTCTGCTTTCCAGCCTGGGAAATGGGAGCGAGGAGCAAGGCACGCGCAAAAGCTGCAGGTTTGGGGGGGGTCCCAAATCAAGGCAAGTCCCATACAGGGGGATTTCATGGCAGGCTTTTCCTTGGGGGTGGTCCAGGGGGTCTGGAGCCGGCTGGATCCTTTCCAATTATCAGTTCTTCCACCTTAATTGCTGATTCTTGATGCTAAAAAGTGCTATGGAGATTAATTATGTTCTTGCTTAACAGTAAGCGCCGGTAACTCTGCGAGAGCCAGGGATGCTCTGGCCACACTCAGCACCCAGCACCCAACCCTGGGATGCAGCCACTCCATGTACCCCACGCCAACCCCGACCGCCGCTGCCCTCCGCGGATCAGGATGAGACCCCCTCACCCCACCAGCCGCAGCTTTTGGGGGTTGCCACGTTGTCCTCGAAGGTGTCCGAGTTACCACGGCACATGGAGGAGGTGCTGATGGGGCAGCGAAGAGGATGTGACGAGCAGAAGGAGTCGTTAGCAGGAGATGCCAGCCCTGGATGTGGCTCGTTGCTGACCGGTGGCACCCGAGACACGGAGCCAGCTCTGCCCTGTACCCCCTGTCACGTTTGCCACCTCTCCAGAGCCCAAAATGACCCGAGTTGATGGAGAGCAGCAACCGGGGACCATGGTGCAGGGTAAGACCAGATCTGGGAGACTTCTCCAGTGGCCCCAGCTCCAGGACATCCTCAGGGAAGGGCTGGGCAGAAGCAAGAGATGCCAAACCCAGGAGTCCTGGAGCAACGCTGGAGCCTTCAGCAAGGACATCGGCCCCGCTTGGGTGCTGACAGCAGGGACCCAACCCCAGGGCACAGCCAAAGCAGGGAAAAGAGAAACAGCTTGGCTGTTCAGGACCAATGTTGCTGGCAAATAACCGGGGCAGACACCCATTTATCACCACGCACTCATCCACAGAGTTCATTTGCACAACCCAAACCCGACCGAGAGCAAACCGATTGTTTTAATTGTTATTATTATCACTGCTAGGCTTTGGTTCCACACTAAGGGATGAGCGAGGACGACTCGTGCTGGGAGGAGTCAGGCATCAGCCAACTCCTGCACCCTCCGCCAGAGCAGGCACGGCCAAAACGCTCCGCTCAAAGGACGGGGGCAGCGTTTCTGCAGTCACGTCCCCATCCAGTCGTTTCTGCAGTGACGTCCCCATCCAGTCCCCTCGTCCCCATAAGCCGCTCCCAGCATTTCCCTTCCCCAGCCACCCTCATCACCCCTTTCTCTTGCCTCCTCTTGCACAGCCCTGGGGCTGCAACATCCCGTTAGCGTGATGGCCACAGGAGATATTCCCATCATGCACCTGGGTGAGAACCATGGATGTGCGTCGTATCAAGAAAACACCCTGGCAGCTCACCAGCCACAGAATCCCATTTTTGGGGACGATGCACCTCCCTGAGCGGACTCACCATCCTCATCCGTCTGGAATACGACTTCCTTGCCCTCCTTGCGTCCCTCGGGGTTGGAGAGGATGAGCTTGACGTGGATGTTCTTGTAGGGCAGCAGGTTTTTGATGGTGTAGCGGTTGGCGTTACGCTCCATCTTCACACACTCCCGGAAGGTTTGGTTGTGGCCGGTGCCCACGAAATAGCGGTAGCAGAGCGAGACAGTGTAGGTGTGACAGCGGGTCAGGTTGTAACCCAGCGGCTCCCACTGCAACGTCAGCTGCCTGGACTGGATTTCGGAGAAAGCCAGGCCTTTGGGGGCCCGCATGGGCTCTGGAGGGGAAGAGAGATGGGGAGAGATGAGTGATGAAGCAAAATACCTCGTGGGATTATGTGTATTATCAGGGAAAGCCCTTTTACAGCGTAGGAACAAAATGGGTGAGAGCAGAGAGGAACCCTGACCCCAAAACTGGGACCAGCCCCAGCACAGGATGCTGCTGCCTTGCAGACAGGGCTGGGGACATCACTGGGTCCCAAAGCCACCAACACCACAGGGACAGCAGCCCCCCCTTGGCTCTTCTTCTCCTATGGAAGTGAAGCCGGGTACCAGCCTCACTCCCCCGGTTGGGAGCATCCGGCTGTGGGCACCAGGAGCATCCACGCCACGACTGGTCCCATATAACCAGATAAAGGTGCCTGTACGATGGGAGCCCTCGCGTCTTCATCAAGCCCACATCAGGCTCTTGAAAGGACAGAGATTGAGTGCCATCACTGGGAAGGAGTTTAATTAGCTCTAATTGGCGTGAACAGGAGAAGTTGGATTTAATGAGGAGCCGAGCGCCTTTGCCAACAGCACACGCACAAGGGTGGTTTGGGTTAACGGCAATAAACTCCTCTCCGCACCCAAGGGTGGTGGGAAGGACACGGAGAGCGAAGGAGGGTCTTTGTCCACCCTGTCCCAGAGCCGATCCCCCAGGCGATTCCCGTAGGATTTGCACGGCAGAGGAGTTGGGGCAACTCCGGGTTGCCAGAGGCTTTTGCAACCTTAGATGCTCCTGAAGGTCCCGATTCCCTCATGGAACCGTGCAAAACCCCGGTTGGTTTGGCGAGGGGGTGAGGAGCACAGCAAGAGGCACAGAGGCCCACGTAGCAGGGACGCCAGCCTTAAACCCATTGCCATGTCTGACTCTACCAAAAAACACCAAACCTCAGCCCAACGCCCACCGGCATCACTCCCGTTGGGTCACCAAGGGCACAGGGACCTCTCTTCGCTTCTCTCCCCGAGCCCTCCAGAGCCCCCCCCACCTCCCCGGGCAGCACCACGTGGAGTCAAGCTTCAACCTTCCCCTTTCCTTTTTATTCCAGTGTATTTAAACGCTCCGGAGGGAGCCAGCAGCGCGGCACCTGGGGCCAATGACGGCGTGGCTGCATCGGGAATCTCCCCTCGCCCCGGGAGCTGAGGACGCATCTGCCCAGCGGCTTCTTCCAGGGTCCCTTCCCAGGCCTGATCCTGCAAAGCGTGGGAGAGGCAGCGCTGGGCAGACGGGCTGGCAAGGCTCGGAGGATGCTGGAGATGCAACCGCAGCCGCCCTTTGGGTAGAAGAAGGGTGGCTGTGTCGCCATGTGCAAACCCACCACAACCCAGGGAGAAAAATACGTCGTTATAGCACGTAGGAAGAGCCGGGGAAGCCTGAACATGGTAACCACAGGGTATTAAATACGGGGCGGTGAGAGC